TTTACGATAGATAAATTTAGAAACCATTTCTATTGATTTTCATTGTCAAAGGACTAAAGTAAGCAATTATGCTAATTCCAAAGACTATTTTGACTAAAAAAGCATACACACTTTACTATTAGTAGGTCATACTCCATAATGCAACAATATTTGATGGTTTCTTCTCTTTAGTATAGCAAAATTAATACTTTAAGCTATATACTAAGGAAAGAGGGAAATGAAAAAACGGAGACATAGTAATTAAAAAAAAAACCTTTATTCACCGGGAGAATTCATCACTTATAAAAATATTTGATGTTATTACAAAATTATTTGTTAAAGAAGGGAGGTTAATTACTTTAACCTGAAGCCCTCTTTATTCTCAATGACTTAAAAAGAACCATTTGAAAAAAGATCTCATTTCCTGAAACAAGATGTCCGATCCCTAAGAGACACATATACCAAGTGTGTCCTTGGGGACATGATGAAATTATTCTATCCCTGCCTCATGTAATCATGGAAAGTACAATTCTTTGATTTTGAAGTTTGCAGAAGCAAGCTGTTGAATCTCCTGGGAACTCAGAAGAAACATATCACACAGGACACCTACAAAACAAACCCTATACATTTATTACACCGTTGGGTTTTAAACCTTATATTTTCAACATTCTTCACCTTCATGTAATTAGCAAAATCATTGAAAAAAAAATCAACTTTGTTGCTAATTACCAGAAGCAATATGAATCAAGTTTTGTTTACACTCGTGCTGGCTGAAATGGTATTGATTCTGAGCCTTTTGTTCCAAACCCCTCTGAGGAAGTTGGTGATCGTGGGGTTAGATCGATCGAAGCAAGGGCGAGGGCCATTGGTGGCGAAGAGCGTGGGAGGAACCATTCTCGTCGTCTTTAGCTCCACTATATATAGTGTATTCAGTGTTCAGAAACGTTTAACAGAGACAGGCTTTGTCAATCCAACAGATGAGGTTCTTATGGCACATCGTCTCCTAGAAGCATCTCTCATTGGTAAGCTATGTCCATAGTAACCCTTTTCGTTAAAATTTACATGGGGAAAAACTATATCAGTAACCTTGTTAGGGTAAAGTTGTAGGAGTTTTCAATTTTGATGATTGCATGTATCTAATTTTTGGGCGATGAATGAAAATCCTTTTCTGTTGGCAATTCTGTTACCAATCTCATGTCATGTTAAGTCTTGTAAAACATAACTCTCCGAAGCAGAAAAAGCTTAGCCGGAAGTGAAGAAAGTTGAGGCTCCATGCACCCTAAATCCAATAGGTGGAGTCACCCAACTCCTTATAAACCTTTGAGAGGTTTTTGAAATTTCCGACATGGGACAATATATTCTTCACATACTCACAACAAGTACCATGTTGCCTTCTGTCCCAGTTAAAAAATACATAGCTTGCCTTAATTATAAGTTCAGGCAGGGTTTTGCAGCAAGGTGCCGAATACAACTCGATTGATGCCAAACACCGGTTTATAGTTACAGGCTAACTTTTGTTCATAATTTATATGTTTTTATTTAGCTATAGTTGTAATTATGCCATTTTTCTCTATTTATACTTGAAATGTTTGTCATTGCACAGGGTTTTCCTTATTCCTGGCAATGGTTATAGATAGACTACACTACTATATCAAAGAGCTCCATCTGCTCCGAAAATGCATCGAAGAAGTGGAGAATCTGAAAAAGGACCAAGAGCACAGGGAAACTACTGCTCCTGCACAAGTGAAGAAAGCCACACAGATGATAGATAAGGCAGCCGAAAGCTGACTTATGAAGAAGAATAACCAAATGAGCTAGCAGAAGCTCCCAATAATGAATTCACTAATTAGTTCACATTAATAGTAGAATTGGTAAATACCCAAGTTTCTCATTAATCCCCAAACAGTAATTCAAATCAACATAGATTGATCATCAGTGACATATTAATGCATACATAGCTTGCTAAATTTTAGATTGCTTCATAGAATAGCTTGCTAAATTTTAGATTGCTTCATAGAATAGATGAACTACTAGGGTGTCATGTAAATATAATACATGCAAAGTGCAATTTCTTTTATTGATAACACACAATGTGATAAACTGGGAGCATGCGTAAGTGGGGCTTGAAATTTAATAAATGGGAGTTGGTCGATTTTTATATTCAAATGGTACTCAACTACAAAGGTTTAAATTGCTTAGAGAGAGATTCGAACTCGATTGTATCCATATCTGTAGAGTTGGTCGGCTTTGAGTCTACATAAAAACCAGACCCTAATTGCTAAAGTCCAAAGCACAAGCATATAATTTTTTTACAAGTTCAATAAAGAAAAATTAGGCGAGATTAGTTTTTCGGCAATAGTCGCGTGCAAAGCACCTGCTTTCCCTATAGAGATGAGAACTATTACACCAAAAAAACCCCTCCCATCCCTCCTTCACCATTTTATTAAGAAATATAAAGGAAAGTAAATGAAAAAAAAAAACAACCACGAGAACTAAAGAACCCACAGTGACCAAATGCTCAATGAAACCGATAACAAAAATTTAAGTTATGAGAAGTCAAGTAAGTTTCAATGTGACTTTTATTTTCTTATTCAAACCCTAACATAAAAATAATTAAGTTAGGGAGTAAAATTGGCTCATGAGCTCTAATAGGCTAGTTTAACTCTGGTAGGTGTGAAGAATGAAGATGCAAAACCTTTAAACAGGCTAATTTGGTGTCTACAATTTGATGAGATATGATAACTCCATCTTCCAGAAAGCGAAACCTACCATCAAGCTATTCAATATAATTAAATCCTAATCATCAAATGAACCACATATATATGTTTTCCATTTACTGATAAGAACGAGAGAATACCAATATTAGGTGAAATAAGAATGCATCTTATATTTCGATAGGGTGTTCGAATAGATGGTGCTGATCTGAAAAATCTCTGCCAATTCACCAAACATATGGTAAGCTAGCATTGCCTTCTTTTTTTTTTTTCTTTTTCCAAACGAGCTAGCATTGCCTTGTCCCCCTTGATTTTGATGGGAGGTGTAGGGGTGACACTAGAACCCGGTTCTATTGTCTTTCTCCTTATCCCCTTCCCTACTTTGTTATGTTGTTTTGTTGTTTGTTGGCTTCGGTGTAGGCTTTCCTTGTACCTTTCTGACATCTTTGTCTTGGTATTATATTTCCAGTTTTCCAAAAAAAAAAACAAACGAGCTAGCATTGCCTTTGAGAATTTATATTTGACACTTCACAATTACGCAAGGATGATTGCATAAATTTTGTTTGTTTGTCAAAAGCCTTTAGGTCTTGCGAGTCTTGAGTTGACCTTTCAATATGACAAAGAGAAAATGAAGGGAAAAGGTGAAGAGCGAACGTGTTTGACTCTTCCAGAAGTCGATTTTCATCATGGATTGGATTAATCGATTAATAAGTTGACGTCTTTAAATTAGTTGACTTTGTTTAATGCATTTTTCCTTTTATTAAAACAAACACCCTTTTAATTCTTCCATCCCCTGGCGGTGCCATAGAACACGTTCGCTTTACTTCTTCCACTAGATGTCAATTGCCAAAGGAGGTTAGGTAATGCCAATTTAATAAGACTATTGAATGGTATGTTAAGTTGACAAGAAGAATTGTTGTATGGCCATGAAGGAATACGACACGACACGGAAGTACGAAAGGATACCGACGTGTCTATGCATAATAGGTTATAAGTTAGATTCTCTTGGTGAATTACATTATATGACAGTTGATGCATCAATTAGAAAATGATTGTGTTAAGTAATACAAGAATTATTCGTACAAACTATACATTTGTCTGTGGTTAAGAGCAACATGAAATTATGAGTCAAGAAAAAGTTGGTAGTTGATATATATAACATATATTATAGAGAGAGAGTTTGTGGATGTGTACTATTTATTTGCGAATTGAGCACCTCCCCTCCCCACCCATGATATTAGAATGGGGAAAGAATTAAACTTTGATTTTGAATATTATTCACCTACATAGCCAGGATAGAGAATAGGTAGTGGGAACAAACTTGTTGACTCCTCTCAATTGTCTAACAAAAGTCTCTCTTCTTCGTTCACGCAGGAAGCTTCATCAACCTCTCAATAAATTAAATTGACTTCTATGTCAAGCCAAAATATATATGAAGACTTGAATATTCTCCGCTAGTATGCGAGAGCGAAGTTTATAATTTTAGTGTACTCGTGCCGTGAAAGTCCTCCTTTTAACTGCCCGCCCGAAGCTGGCCACTGTTGTAGTTGCAAAAGGGAAGAAATCGAACATCACAGCAGAGAGCAATTCACTGGCTATGGCTAGCTCTTCACAGACTGTAAATGTATTTAACCCTTCACATGCATGTCAGTGAAAAGCCTAATGCCCACATGATAATTGTTGTCATGAGTAGAATATTCAAAGAAAATATATGCAAACAAAAAGGCTGGCCTAGCTTGCAAAACTTAGGTGTATAATAAAATAATGCAATCTTCCTAAGATTAATGATTGGGATGTATTAAAAAATTAAAAAGAAATTAAAAAACTAAAAATACAAGCTGGCCTTGTTTCTCCTTCTGGATAACACAAGAGACAGCTCCTCTTGGTTTGTGTATAGAGACAGCATAAGAGGCCAAAAGGGGTGAATATATACATGCATATCCAGGTTATGTGTATGCTTAATTAACCTTCGAATTATATAAATAATTAGAGAGACAACTATTCAAAAATCACAGTTTGGTACCCTAACTAAGGTCCTTAATAACATCAAATGCTCCTAAAATGAAAAATTGCATCGATGCTTATGTATAAAACCACTGACATATTAGACTGCAATGATGGTTAAGCTGCAAACAATATCGTTGTTGATTAGTACTGAGCTGTTGAACCAAATATGAAACTTTGACAATTCGAGTTTGAGACCTCTTCTAGTATTGGGAGCAGCAGTATCATTAAACGAGTAGCTAGTAGGTGATTTGTTTATGTTGTAGGCTTGGAGCCCTTGGAACTACTAAAACTAAAACAAAATAGAAAAGAAACTCCACTAATGCCTACTTTGGCAGGCAAAATTAAGACACGAATGATAACAATGGGAGTGAATAAAATCAAAATTATGATTATCTGATCCAATTTCAAGATTGTTTGATACAAAAGAATCTTCTATCACACTATTACTAATCATAAATTCAAAATCTAAATCCTCATCAGAGTTTAAACTCTCAATCTCTTCAAGAAAAATTGAAGCCACAGTTGAAGAAGTTGCAGCAAAAACTTCACCGTCTGAGACGACATTGTTGTTTGCAACAACCAAGTTTTTGATTTCTTCGTCGCCATTGCTTCTAACAGTTGACCAACTTTCATCAAATTCCCAATTGGGTGCATTTGAAAATGTCGAAAATCCAATCAGTTTCTTGATCCTTTCTGTTGGAGAATTCAAACAAACACCTTCAACCTCAACAGATTGCAATCCCGTTGGACTTTCAGATCCTTCAAATGAATCCCAAAGGCCTTGATCTAACACACTAATTGGAGACCCCATTACTTGCTCGGTATTGAACTTAGACCCCAAATGCTCTTCCAGAAATGGATGCTCAAGAAGCTGCTTAGCTGTCCACCTCTCTCTTGGATCTTTCATCAAACACTTGATCAAGAAATCCTTACCCTTGCTCGAAAGTCGGCTTGGAATCTCCGGTAAGTCACCGGAGAATCCAATCCGGTAGAGAGCTGAAACCGGATCATTTATCTCCGGCCAAGGCCCGCCACCAGTTGCCATTTCTATAATTGTGCACCCTAGAGCCCATATGTCAGCCTCAAACCCCTGCTCTTCACCGCGAGCAACCTCCGGCGCCATAAACACCGGCGTACCCGAAATAGTAGCACGTGCCTCGACAGAGTCTTCGTCCTCTGCAACTCCTTGTACCAATTTAGCACAACCCAAATCGGCAATTTTGGCGCTCTCTTCGGTCACCAAAATGTTTTGGCTCTTGATGTCACAATGTACCAACTTATTCTCATGCAAATACTCCAATCCTTGCACAATTTGATGTGTGTACAGTTGGATCATGGCCTCCTCTAGCGGCCCTCCCAGCCTCCGAATTGCGTCGAAAAGCGTGCCGCCGGTTACGTACTCCATGCAGAGATTGTACATATGCTTGTTGTTTTCAATGCTAATATTGCAGCCCAAGTACTTAACTATATGGGGGCAACTTAGCTTGGACAAAAAACATTGCTCCTTCTGCAAAAAGGACGAGCTGGAGAGCTCGGTAGACTTCACCGCGAATTGTTCGCCAGAGATGGTGCTGGTGGCGAGGGAGACTGTGGCAGTGGAGCCGCGGCCGACCGTCGGTCCTCGGATCCAGTGCTCCATGGCAGAAGAGAAAATGTGAGAGTTTTGAGTTTTATGTTTGGTGGCCATTTTTGAAATGTTTGCCTAAATGGCCAAATGCTCATTATTTATACGTGACATTGGGGTTGGTGGGTCCAAAAAGTAAACCCCAAAAGTATATAAAATAAAATGTTAATTAACCGGATAATTAACTGTTAAAGCCTCTTGTAATCGAGCCACGTGGCAAAGGAAGAGTGGGGTTTGACAGCTCTGGCCGTCTTGGAGCGCAGTTACTTAGGCTTGTAATAACGCCACCCACATGGCGACACATGAACCCACATGCCAAGATTGCGGGCTTAAGAGGAGATTATGGGGGGAAGCGGAGAATATGCTGCTTAAGTGCTTTTGCGTTTGGACTTTGGAGAAGTCGGAAGTCTTTCTTTTTTTGCGACGCCAAAAAGCACTTAACAAACCTCTAGATGCATTGTCTTGCTCTTTCAACGCGGTTTTTGAATATTTTTCGTTTAGTGTGAATGGACTTACTTTTGCACTATGACTTGGAACGTGGGTTGAATGAGTTCACACTCCTCCGGAATCCAAGTAAAATGGATTAATGAGATAACGTTGTTCAGGTTTGTGATTAGGTTGATCGAGTCTAACGGTTTTGTAGTTGACCGTGCACGTAAAGAATTTTCAACTGATATCGAATCTATCGTAAAATTCATATATGTTTACGTACATGATTGATGTTGGGAAGTGTTATTGGCATTCCCAAAATCTCATACTACACTCCTCACAAGTGTATTTTTTTTTCCAAATATAAAAAGTTTGTAGTGTAGAATGAGATTTTTGGAGTGCTAATAACAATTGTCTTGATGTTAAGATTTAATGAGTTCAAATTGTTAAACTGCGATAATAGTGAAAAATACGGTAAATGTGATGACATGTGTTCTTAAGTGGTGACTTGTTGTCTAGTCTTGTGACCTTATGTCAACGCTATTAAATTTCCTTTTGGGGCTTGTGGAAACTTGAGAGCGAAACCAGCACAATACTTGACAATGTGAAATTGAAGAATTCATAGAACTGGGGGCATTAATATGAATATTCAACCGATATTAATGTACATCAAGAATTTGAGGTAAGGCCAACTAAACTAGAAAGCTTCTAATCCAACCGAATTATAAATTTTTAATCTAAAAAACTCGTAGCTCAAACCGTCAGCACTTGCTCATGCATTTGAAATCCCGTATTCTAATACTAAGTGTTAGCAACCTTCTCGATTTACATTCTCAACTCTCATTCTCATTCTACAATGTTACTTAATTATTAAAACCGTCTACTTTTCAAATCACTTGTTAAAGATCATTTATGCGAAAAATACAAAAAAATATCAGAAATTGTTTAACCGTTGGACTACTGTTTGTTTTCAAATTTCAATGTTAGATGATTCCAACATATCAATTTGAATCCTCCCTGGTAATTATTCTTGGTGCAAGAAAGTGGTATCACAACGTGAAGAAAGGAAAAAAAAAAAAAAAAAAAAAAATTGATCCAATCTGTCGGTGCGTAGAGAAGTCTGAGGGGGCAAAGCACTGAAAACTTATCTCCTTTACAGCTATAAGCACACAGAGATACCAGAGAGAGAGAGAGAGAGAGAGAGACCCACATTACCAAACTATGTCTTCCCAAATTTACCCGTCTTCTTTTCCCCCTGTTTTATTTTTTTCAAACCAGTCAGCTTGTGAAGAAAGGGACCAACCGCCCCAACCCATATTGGACAGCACTGGCTGTTTTGCTTATTTGAATTTTCAGTACAGCTCGATTTAGGCAAAGTTAATGAGCATGCTTTAAGCTGCATTCACATTCTAGAGTACATTGGTGACATAAATTACTGAATTTAATGGCTAGATGTGCGCTAAAGAATTAAGAGATTTAACGAGTACAACCTCATTCTTTGAAAATTCACATACTAATATATGCCTCCACAAAGAGAAGAATACATAAGAAAATTCCCCATAAGCTCTAGCCCTAAATTTAACATGAACATATCAATCGCGTCTCATTCTTTGAAAATTTTAGACTACAACAATGATATACGTTGCTGAATTTAACGATTAGATGTGCGCTGAAAAATTAAAAAAAAATATAACCAGTGGATCCGAACTACTTAAACTACGATGTGTAGAGTAGCCCTCATTCTTTTAAGTGAATCCAAATTAAAGTTGTTTTGATAAAATACTGATAAACTATATAAAAGGAGAGTGCATCTTGGTCACATTTTTGCCTAGTCAAGAAGCAACCAAATATTCACTACTTTGGGATTAAAACGTTTCTTGGCTAAGTAGCTAGGTAGCTTTACGAACAAAGGTTACCATGTGATGATGTCACATTTACAACTACAAATGAAATGAGTGCTGAGGCCTTGGCCTTGCTGTATTGCCTTCACTACATACTACTGGAAATTCAGACATCCCATGTGAAAATCTACTCTCCTTCAATCTCCATTCGAATTTTAATCACATTCACAACGCATGGGTTTTAATGAACCATTCCCTTTTTTTTAAGCAGGAATTTCTTGAGGGGCTACTCTCTTGCTACTTTATGTTAGATCCAAAGATAAAGGAGAAATTTTCCTATTTTGTCTACCTTACATCATAACCAACACTATTCTGGATAAGATCTTCACTTTACTTTACATCAAATACTATTTCACGATTCCTCATTTGCTCATCTCTGCTCATCATGTTTAGTCTTGTCGTTATCATCCACCACGCTCCCGCATGTCTCAAGCTCAGGCCTATATAGGGATAAAATGATCCTAACTGCATCTAGAAATGCTATTAACTCATTAATTAAACAACGTTATAGAACGAAACCACAAGCGGTCTCATCTCTTGGAAAAAAAAATAGGATCCTCTCAATCGTCTTAGTTTTAATTGGTTTCCAATCTCTGCCCCCATCAATCCCAATCCATGAGCTTGATGCTTTCATAACTTGGTTAGAAGATGCATCCCTTGCCAACTAAAATTTGTTTATGCTTTATGCGTTCCCCCTTTTTATTGTTTCTTTTCTTATGTAGGAATATCTTTTGTCAGCGGCAAACCGAAAGAACCAAAGCGATAACATACGAAACTAGATCTACTAAACAGACGATGGCACAGGAATAATAACTATATATTCTAAAATTTTTACTCGTTAAATCGCTCCATAGGGTTTTAGAATCTAAAATTCGAAACTCGGGGAATCCCGGGTTATCAACTCAACTAATCCTCAAGGGCACACGTAGAACGCCAAAATTGAACAGCCAGGGCAAGGCAATGAAAAACAGACTAACAGAAGTGTATCACGTATGCATCCGTGAGGAGTGGAACATCAGACCTATGCTTTCTGAGAAGTTGACAATGCCGGAGCTACCACCGGATTAATCCGATGGAGATTGGATATTTCTGTTCTATGTTCATCTATATAAATCTTGAGCGTTCAGTTACAGAGCTGCAAATCAAGTTCCCCATTAGACTAACAAGAAGACGTTTCAAGGGGGCAACAAAGCTCATGTAGTAGGTGGCACAAACGCAAGTACATATATATATACACACACAACGATCGACAAAATGTATCGCATCTGAAAACAGTGTCGGAAAATATACATTTTCTCAGTCTATGCGCAACGTTGAAAATACATCGGATAAAGGCCACACGCTGATATATTTACACGCAATTATGATTCACTCCCAGTACTAGATAGGATACACTGAAACTCCAACGCGTAAAAGCGAGAATAAGCGACGAGAACAAGCTGAACATGAGAAGCTAATATTTATCTATGCAGCTTCCGCAAACCCGATTCTCTCATTGCCATAGTCAAACACGGTATGGTAGCGACCCATGAATACATCTCCCAAGATCCTGTCAGAAAAAACAAAACATTAGTAATTTCCTTTTGAGTTGCTCTCTTGCCAACAAGAACGGAAGGATCATGTAACCAACAAACTTCACAAATCCCGTTTGAGAAACAAAAGTATATCACCACAATGACCTTGACAAAAGCAGGAGGATCCTAAAACTAAGGGGTAATTTGTTTGAGGTCACACAAATATTTCGATATTAGGATTAGTAGGATTAGGTCAATGAAGAGAAATTTTAGCGAGCGATATTTACTTTAGTTGGAGAAGAAATTGACCTTAGTTGAAGAGGAAAATTCGACTATATTAGAACTGAGATGTCCATCAACTTATACCAACATATGAAATATTTATTGACCCAAACAAAATTCCTAAATAAAAGTCTATAATAGATGGCAGATTGTACCAGAGAGGTCCGCGGGGAGGCGGGACATCCAAAGCAGTAAATCCACTAATGCATTGTGCTACATCTCCCTCGCCTACCTTGAGTACGTACTGATTTCCATAAAATAAAAACGAAAGAAATATATTAGTAATGCAATCAAGTAAGCCACCGTTAATGCTTTGCATGTACAGAGGTCAGTAGCTGGAAGAGATAACACAAGATACGCCGTCAGAACAATGAAAAGCATATCTAAACATTATATGGCACCTGCTCAGGGGTGAGATCAAATGTTTGTCCACCAATTGTAAAGGAAACATTGGGCATGGAAGACAAACCACCACAATCAACTGCAGATTCTCCCATTGGGCTAGGCAACCGATCACAGAGCTGCATTTACAAACCAGATTATAAGCAGACCACAAAACAGGCAACCTAGAGAAACATATCAGAGAAAGGGTAACTTCACCTGATTCACATAGTCAAGAATTCGTTCCTGTGTCTGATTCTGCTTGAGCTGGTTTTGCATCCATACAACCGTCATCTCACAAGCAGAACATGTCGCATCAGATAAGCCACCAGAAACCTTGTGAGCGTTCTCCTCCACAACACTCTTGAGTCCAATACTGACCAGTCACATTGGGCAAAATAAATAATCAGAGTGCACTGGAAATACAATAAATAATATATATGACAAACTGATTGAAGAAACAAATACATGTATCATAAGAAGCCTTGTTATTGTTACGATAGTTCAAAGCAAACATATTTCTATCATATCCCTCAAACCAAAGTGAGTCTAACCTAACACCACGAGTCCCATCAAATGAGCACAAACCAATCTGAGAGCAGATTTTCGCTGGTTGATCCTGCCGAGATAAAAGTAAAAAATACAGTAAATTAGAAATCAAGAAGTACGTATATAAATCTCCTAGTCCAAACCAAGCTTTTGATTGATTTTACATAACAATGGGAGCATAGAAATTGTACCTTTGCTAAAATTCTCTCAATTATGGTTTCCCCATATTCTGCAACTACAGTCTTACACTCTTGACTTACAATCCCAGAGGCTCCAATGGCATGATTAAGTTCAGTGATAATAGTCTGCAAATGAGAAACAACGCACAACAAATAAAAGAACAAACAATAAACACGTAAACATGCACATCCACACGCAAATACGTTAACCTTCAAACCAGGAACAGACTCAAAGTTACAACAAAATATGTTGTGAAAAATAATTGATTTTCCTCGTCTAAAGAATAATCAATCAATAGGAAAGCAATAACAGCTGAAGTACCAGCTCAAAATCCAAGAGCCCTGTATGTTTACACTATAAAAGAGAAAAATTAGAGAATAAAATTTGCATTGATCGATGAGAAAACCACAATTGAAAACATCACTAAAATTTGCATATTGATGAGAAAACCACGAAAATGAATAGAATTCCTCTTATAGGAGATGCATTAAGGCCACCCTTAACAAATTCTGGACCATCTACTTTAGTAAAACGGAGAATGTTTGACTCCAGAACCAAAAAAACACATAATAACACACAAATACACACCGTTGGGCCAACCAACAAAGAAGTTCCAGAATCAGCAATTGCCGAACAGCCATCAGCACAAAATCCTGAAATAGGTATGATTACATCAGACTAGAAGTCAATAAAATCGTACTAAACAAATATCATGTATAAGAAAGAAGAAAGCAAATATAAAATATCTTTCACTTACCAGTAGTTTGACCATCAATCATAACATCACCCATGTCAAACTGCCAACAAGAGCAATAGAGTGGACAATATTAGAACTTTTTCACAAACTTGATTTTTATCACACAATGAACGTTCAGAACACCAACCTGCCAATAGCCTTTCTGTGTAACAGGGACATATGTGTGCTTTCCCTTGTAGTGATTGGGGTCCACTCCACCAAAAACAATTTCACCTCCTTCTTCTTCATCAGCATTACGGTTAAACCAGAATGAGAAAACTGGTTCCTTCAGGAGACCCTGATTGACCATGTTATACCTGCAGAACTCCTAAAGTTAGAATTCTCAGAAAATGAAACATGTGCCATCAACTTCCCTGGGAGTCAATGACACAACCTTGAGGACTAAACAAGGCAAAAATTCATAATAACAACACAGGAGACACAACGTACCACACAGGTACAGCATTTCCAACTGAAATCTCTTGAAATCCAAGTCCAAGTATCCCATCAAATTTAGCTACCAGGAATGTGATGCCGGGTTCCTTTGTTGCCTCAATAAATTCCTGAAACAAACCGCCTGTGTTAGTAAGGGCAAACCACCAACATGATGTTCAATATGTATGACTAATATGCTAAACTAACCTGATCTTTAACCACAAGATCGCCAACTGTGACATGATCTTCACTAAAGAACCCAGAAATAGCTCCAGTTCCGTACTGGATGGCTGCAGGCTTACCTGCATAATGGAAGAAACCAGAATATCGTCTCTTGTCATGAAAAGGAAAATTCCACCAACGAGTACATGCATAAACCCTTGGAATAACAACAATAAAATAGAATAAACAATCATGCTGACAGAAACAAACCATTTTTGTTGTAGGTGCTCGAACTGCTTGACTTGTATTTCGGATGTAAATAGCACGCAATCTGCACTCATATTCAAAATAGTTACATCGTCTCCTATCTAACATCACGAAGAGAGGAAATTAAATTATTAATAACATATAAAGGATAACAAAACTAAGACAAAAGAAACTCACCGAGAAATAACACTTAGATGAAGGTACCCACAAATTTGAACTACCAGTATCAAATATCACAGTGAACTTCTGAGGGGGAGTGCCAATACCAATCTCACCAAAGTATTGAGCATCCATGTAATTCTTGAGAGATACAATATCAATGTCCTCAGACTCAGCCAAATTCCCACCCAGACGATACTTTTGGAGAGCAGCTCTCAGAGCCTCTCCTTCCTTGGAATCAATCTGGGAAGCAACCCTGTTATTATGATCAAGTTTCCTCTTTTTGAGACCAATCCGGAGCAACCCATCATTAGACTCGCAGAAAACCAACGGACACAAGAGCAAGCACAGAAAGAGCGTCGCTGTAACAGATTTGAGTTTGGTTTCCATGTTTAACTGCATGCAGATAAAAAAAACAAAATCCGTTTCCTTAATTGACCAAGAAAAAAAACTATCAATCACCAAAACAAATCCATTCTAAACCCTTGTTGACGAGGAAAAAAAAAAAAAAAACCTAAGCCCTTATACTAGTGAAACGCAATCACAACAGAACTCCACCGGAGTCACAGTCGAGTTTCCTCACAACATGTACACGCAAACAAAAACTACATCTTCCAGTTGGTAATAAAATTGGACACAATAATCAATCAAAAAATTCAACAAAAACGCGTTGCAGACAGAAACGGGGCATCACTGTGTAACACTGCACTCTTTTACTCAATATTTTCTTCAACCACCGTTTATTTTCCTTGAAAATGAATAAAATTCAGATAAAAAGAACAAAATCAGAGTTCAAATTACAAAAAAGTCAGGTCAGCTCGGTTAAATAAACCCAATTTTCGTAATCAACCACAACCATATAAAATAAAACAAATACACTAGGATTACTGTTCAATTATACACGAAATCAAAGTTTATCAGAACAAATTATAACGCAAACAGAAAGAAAACATTTCTCTAAAAAAATTAAAAAATAAATTCCAGAAAAACAAAAATCTATGGTACCTGTTGATCACTGCTTTGATACGAAACTAGGGTTTCGAATTGAATTCCTAAAAAAATTAATAAATTGAAAGCGATAATTACAAAGGAAATTACAGGAAGAAAATGACTCACAGTAAGCAGGCAGGAAGACGATGAGAAAGGAGGAGTGCACTTTTCCCCAAACACCTCCCACCGGACAAGATATTTATAATTCCATTTGGATTTCCAAAGCCGACAACTTTCAATCTTATACGTACACGTGTTCTTGATGACTGATCATCACGTCCGAAGAAATCGTTTTATTCTTTTCGTGCGGGAGAGAATAACCAAGGCAAATGAGCTGTGCTCGTGTGTGGTGAAGACTACAGAGTCTCTGATGATTAGCTTTGGGTCCGAATGGCACAAGCCCATATCAACTTCCATGATTCTTTCGGCCCAATGACTCAATGCTAATTCTCAAGCCCAAGATAAATTGACCCACTCCCAAGTCCCAAGTTTTGAGTTTAATATGGAGGAGCTTATACAATGAAATATTTTGTGTGGTGTCTGATTAAAAATCAGATGATTGAAACATTAATGGCTTGTTTACGTAACCGTAATTAAAATAGAGGAATTAAATTTAGGAAAAATTGAATTGAGGAGGAATCAGAACAACGTGAAAGATGATATTGTAACTGATTATCAATGTCGTATTTAATGACACCGTCTTCACGTATTAGGAATACATATAAACTAGATTTGATTAAGGTTAGCTTACTAGCTCTTGAAAGAGAATTGGTTTTCCACTAGTTAGTTTCTTTTGAACTCTCAAAATTAACTCCTTCGAATTTGCAGGTCTTTTCAAAAAATTATATATTGTGCATCCCTATGTATGTACTTTCTTATTGTAGTTTTGTGTTGTATTAGTAACAGATTTGCGATAGAATTTCTACAAGCATTACTAATTTAATTAGAAAAAAAATACAGAGAAGATTTATAGAAGTTTATTTTTTCCCAGAATCTTCAGTAAAAGAGTTAAGAATATCTAGAACATTTCTAGCAACTTTGGTAGTGGCTTTAGCAAACATTAGATAGGCAATTTTATAACCAAAATGTGATGAAAGAATTCCTACTTGATTGTGTTTGCTATCTCATTAGCTGTCTAATAAGTGACTCCATGCATAAAATAGACGTAAGGAGGGATCTCCACGTCTAATACCTTTGCTAGGGTAGATATAACCATTAGCCTTCCCGTTATTAAGGAAGGAAAAGGAAACAGAAAATATACAATCCATAACTAGATCAATCCAATAATTATCAAACCCAAACTTATCATAGCAGCTCTTTCGAAATAAAAAATTGTTAAGCCATTTGACTATCCGAATTTTATTTCAGCTTTATGTACCATACCCTGGGTTTTTGCATATTTTAGATGATCAGCTAGTTGCGAATTTAGAGAGTTTTTGAAAGTATAACCCTTGAATGAAGATCTAATAAATATAAACGATTTCCATCGTAAAATGCATTGTAGTTTTAACTTTTTAAGTTATAGAAAGATATTCATCCTTATTATAGAAACTCTATATATAAGGCCATATGTACGATTTAAATAAATTGGGCTAAAATTAAAAATAAATAAAAAGACATTGAATCAATGAGAGTCTTTTATTACACTCAAGCTAAATATCGAAGAATTGACCTCATATCAATATTTATTATTACCAATGAAAATGCCTTATTCATGTAATGTTGCCACTATCGTTTCTTGGAGAAACATTGTTGTTGGTGTTATTGTTTGATTGAACATTGCCAACGATAGAGGTGATGGCTGCTACCAGAGCCATTGTGAAATTAGGGTCAGCTGTGATGGCTGCTGTTGCTGCATTGACTTTGTCAGCCAGTGAATGTGTAGTACTATCCAACCCTTGAAGGCTATCAAGAACCGAGAATTTGGGTTGGTTACAAGGGGCTTGACCTAGAATTTGTGGCACAGACATAAGATTGTTGTGGGGAAATTTTGAAGGGAGCTGGTTTGGTTGGCCAAGTGGCATCTCTGAGGAAGTGGGATTGCGAGTGAGGTCCAAGGTGACAGTAGGAAATGGGGCTGTAGCCGAAAGTGTTGCCAAGCTTGGTGGGCAGTTAGGCAGTCCTGTTCTTGCTAGGAAGCTGTTTGAGCTTATTAGGCCATCAGCACTAGGATTTGAACCTGATAGAAGCATTGATGCTGCTGCTGATGTAGTAGATGCCATGGCCATTGCTGCTGGAGGGAGTGGATGGTTGTGGTGACCTTCGTATGTTGTTATAAGTATTGTTCGATCTTCCGCACATCTTTGTACCTGGTAATGAGGAACCCAATTAGGTCCATTTGTTAGGAAAACTGATTTTCTCATGCCAAATTAATATTTTGACATGTTGTGTGTTATCATACTGTTAATCTAAAAAGAAAAAACAAAAAAGGTGTACCTGTTTGCGTACCGGGCAACCAGCTGCCATAGTGCAACGATAATAAGCTCGAGGGCATGGGTTTCCTTTAGCCATTTTCTGGCCATACTTTCTCCATTGGCATCCATCAGATACCTGCACGTTCGAATTTAATATTATGAATGCTAGGCTGTGTATTTTACTTTCTTCAAATAGCTAAGACAATCAAGTCTAAGGTAGATATCGAGAGAAAAGATTATGAAATTCTTAAACGAGCCGTACACTTCTCTTGGTCTTATTGGTTTCTCTATCTTTGAATTATATTCCATCAGTTCCTATTTTCTGCATGTTTTAGGGAATCAAGGTCTTTTTGAAATGTTCGAAAAAGGATATGTTTATATACAGGTATATATAATTTGTCCATGCATCTCATTAGGAAAATTAATTTCAACGAGAGTGGATCATGGTGGGAGGGTAATTAATATTCTTTTGAGATTAATGTTGTCATATAAAAACTTATGTTTTAGATTGTAAATTTGGATCACCATGTGTCTAGATAAGAATCAACTTGACCAATGAACCAATTACACCATTTGACAAATTAGGTAGCAAAAAAAAGATAATCTGATGAGAGAACATTTTACGAGTGAGATAATATTTTATGTATAGATACACACTCATCATATTAGTCAAGCAGAGGTCAAGGTAATGAGTTTCATACCATGGAAGCCTCAGATCGTGCTCGAACAGAAACCCGAGCTTTTTTAATCATGGAGATGGTTTCGGATGAGGCTTGATCCACTTCCCTAGGGCTAATCAACTTGGGAACCTTCTTAGGAATCCACCCTTGAAATTCATGGTCAGGGCTATCTTGTGCCCCAGTAGTACTACTTCTTCCACTAATATCCCTGTGAACATGACTAGTACCCTTGCAGCAATCCATTGACTCGACTATGTCGTTTCGAGGGGACGACCCAGAACAATCTTGGGATCTGCAGCCTTCATGAGAACACTGTGAAAGCTTATCTTTCTGAGCCCTTCCCATATCCATAAATTGTCTTGGAGCAAGATTATTGAACTCGTTCATCAACTGCTTCTCTTTTAGTACCTCTGATCCATTTAAGTTCATCTAAAAAAAGCCATGAATGTGATGATATTAATAAAATTAATCAAAGACATAATTAATCAAGAAACGTAATTGAAAAATAATTATGTATATTTGTTCTATATATACCTTGTGTTGTTCTGCAGTTTGTTGATCAGTCTTTTGATTTTTCAGTTTCACAAGGTGCACCTGCAACGCCTGGTAATTAGTGTTAACCTGATGAATCACGCCTCTCAGCCGTTGATTTTCTACATTCATACGGCCTAGTTCAGCTTGAAGAACTGCCAACTGCACCCAAAATATTATATATTTTCACTTGAATATGGATCCAAATTAAGATCAAAATAGTTTATTATTTAAAAACACTTGCGCGAAAAAATTTATCAGAGAATATAGGAGTAGGAATAGCATCATCATATCGATTTTTCAAAGCTGAGAAGCAAAAACACTGACTAAATATTCCATGTTAGATGTACCTCATTTGTTCTATGCTTGTCTTCCTTATTACGGGACGACGAAGTTCCAACATCCATGGATGATTTGTCGCTACTGGTGTATGTTGTAAGAAGATTCAATCCAGTCTATAATTATAAAAATTACAAAAAGAACAACAAACCCAATAGCACTAAAAGTCAGATGGTGTAAAAAAAATCAAAATATAGAAGTAGTCAATAACAAGTAACCAGCTATATAGTAGTTTCACACATTTACGTCGGGTAGTTGCTTTTCTTGACCAACCCCGTGATGATCGCATTCTTCTTTAACTTCTGCCGTGTGCTCGTCAGCTTCTTTCAAACGACCCTTATGAGCAAAGAAGTCTAATTCATCTACAACTCGCTTCCCATGATGATCATGATCATCCGCCGTCTCAGGAGAAAGTACGACATGCTGTGCTTCAATTGATCTGCAGTTGGGAATAGAATGATCACTAGCTGCAGATTCCATGACGGATATTGTTAGGTTTGGTCTGCTGAGAGTGACGATGTTAGTGATGAAGACGATGACTGTGGTAGGAAGAATAACAAGAGCGAGCTATGGACAGGCTAGTCGTCGTCCTCCTTTGTCCACATAAATATTTAAAGGGTTTGGGGAAAGGAATAAGCACAAGAAGAGAGAGGGGGTAGTGAAGTTTGAAGTCATAGGAGATGCAACAGACTCGGCTTTAAAAGAGTTTGGACTAAGACCATGAGAAAATGAGTGAGATCTTGTACAACCAACATCATGAAATAATATATATGGTAGAGAATAGAGGAGTGAGGTCAGGTGGTGCGTCAAGATACCACGTGGCATTACAGTCTCAGGAGAGAGAGAGAGAGAGAGAGAGATCTGTTAGAATCATCTCATCAAAATATTATATAGGTAAACAAAAAAAATTGATAGAAGTTAAAAGCAGCATGAGAAACAAAGTGTGTAGCAGAGATTTTCCAGAACTGTCCTATTTTCATTAAAGAATTGTAACATGCGAGCGTAAAATAATAATTAACTGCATCATTGACATATAGCTTTGATTTGACCTTCGCCAAAAAAATTTAGTACATAATTAACGATAATTAGTAGCACTACACCTACTGAAATTTATTACGAGTAATGGTAAAACTCATAGAAAAATTCCAAGGAAAGAATAAACAGAGGTGGTTGAAATTTTGATTTATTCCCAAAGTATGCAATGCATCGTTCCTATTGGTCCGGCGGAATCCATGTGAGGGCGGAGAAGGGGCGGAGTCAACGATATAGACGGCCAAGTTTCCTTTGCGACTATACTGGGTCCTACGTATGTTCT